TTTTTTTCTAATTTGGATATAAAACTAGAGGTCACCCGAGGAAGAACCTCCTTCATCGACATTATTATCCGCCGTTTACTTCCAAAATGGCGGCAGAAAAACCTACGTTGCTATAGACTGTATCGCCTAAACGAATGTACCGATTTCAATGAAACTTTGCTACAGTCATTTTCTCTACGCCCTTTAAATTTATCTATATAACATACTTCAACGAAAAGAAGCTGGAAAAAAGTTACGAGGGATGGTAAAATTAAATTCCGAATAACTCAAAAAGTTAACACTTTTTTGTTGATAGTGTGTGGTTTTTTAAAAGTTTACGAAATTTCCTAAAAAACCCAAAAAATCGGACAATTACTAGCAAAGATATGGTCTCCGGTTTTTTTTTAATATGTTCTACTACAAATGTATCCCTTGTTTGGTTACGTCTATTAAATTTTGAATATGTTACTGATGTAATGCTATTTTTTTTTAGCATATTACCAATGATTAAAAAAAAGAAGTTTAGTCCAATAATTGGAATCATCTTTTATTTATTTTCTTTGTAACTATGAAGGTAATGTTACTTTAGATGTATAATTTTCGGGAAATAATAGACCATTGTGGAATAACTTGCAGCGTTTTTTTTTTTTTTTTTTGTTCTCACCAGAAAAAGTAATAAAGGTGACTGATTATATTTATTTATAACTGATTATGGGTATGTTTATTTGTCTACGCACTGATAATTGTACTTATTTTGATGTTTATAATAATCTATAAAATTAAACATAAAATAATATCAGCGCTAGCTTTATTATTTATGTAAACCATACAAGTATATGAAAATTGTTATCGAAATTTGCAAAACCCTCACCAACGATAAATCAAATTACACACATGTCATTACGTTTCGAAGCCTATCTTTCAGAAAAAATCGAACAATTGGGTTTCTTCGGCAGTTTTCAGTCCTCCATTACACTTACTTATTTTCCCTTTAGTTAAGAATGATATGTATTTGTAATTTTTTTTATAAGGAGTTTATGAGCTCCAGAGAACAAAAATATAGAAGAAACAGACTTTGGTGACCCTAGGTTTTACGCCTCAAAGCCCAAATAAACAAACAAACGAATACGAATTGTCCGTGTTGATATGGACCTTAGCACTCTTTTGATATGCTATGTATTGTAAAGACCGCCGGTGGAATAATTAGTTGAAAGGTATAAATAAATAAATATCATAAGTGCCAACATCTGGCGCTACCTGTGCGAGGGTAACGACCCACAAGCCCAACCTTTTGTAAGTGGTAATAAAAACCTTTAAGAACCACCGACAAAGACCGACAACTGAGTGTTTAAACAGGATCCCGAAAGACCTTTTCACACCTTCCACCAGAAATACCTAAGTCTGTACCTGCTGCTTTACCTTGGCCTGGGGGAGAGGGCGTGGTCATCCCTTAGGCTGAGAATATTCAGCCAATCAGGAAAAAGACTACCAAAAGAGAGGGGGGATGAAGAAAGGTGGGAAATAGAGAATTGGAACTGAACACTTCTTTTTGGAACTCAGAGGAGGAGACTTCCTTTTGGGAGTCAGAGGAGGAGACTTCCTTTTGGGACTCAGCTGAGGAGCCTTCAAGCGGGAGAGTCGAGGGAGGAAGACGAAGACAGCCGGAGAGAGCAGATGGACGGAAGAGACGCTGAAGGAGAGCAGAGACAGGGAATCCAGATATGACGGCTAGAAACACCTAGAAACACTATGAAGGACCAGCTAAGTGGTAACAAGCATTTAGTTATACTAATGTAAATTTGTGTTGGCAACCATACATCATGAATTAATATAATCAATATAACACATGTAACTTTAATCAAACATCAAACATTTCCTCCAGTATGATTCTCAACTATTCATTATGTATATAGGTTTAGTTATTATTTTGTATATAGATGTTTTTGGTTTTATTTAAGCTTGTAAATATAATAGTTAGTAAACCAACGTAGTACTTTTACCATCTACCTTGCATGCCACCAATTAGTAATAGAAACAAATAGTAAATTTAAAAACATGATACCTTTAGAAAGGAAATCCAATAAAAATTATATGGTTCAATCCAGGATACTACAGTAGGGGGTCTGTGGTATCTAACATTTCAATACAAATATAAGTATGAAATACATTTTAATACAAATAAATGCGATTTCTGGAACCCCTTTCTCGCCGTAGAAACGCGAGGCCAGGAACATAGCAGATACTTACTTTGGACTATGAAAAGGGTTTCTTTTTGCAGTAATAACAACATTTCTGTCATCTCTTGATATCGTAATGTGCTGAGATCATCTAACAGTCTCCTATTGGTGCTTCTATTTCCGCTGAATGTGGCTACAGCCAATGAGACCACAACCTGGGAGAGGCTAACTGTAGTGACTTTGACAGCACTCTCCGGTACCACTGACGGCTCAACCTCACTACAATATGGCAAACTTCTGGTTTAATATAATGTCTGTTCATCGTTAAACAGATTATTACTTGATGAAAATTGAGGAAATTTGTAAAAAAACTGTTGGTTTACACAATGAGTATTATTGATTACCATTTTAGTTGATAATTTATTAAAAATTAGGAATAATTGTTGTTTACTTTTTATGTTTTCCAACAAATAAGATGATCTCTGATAAAAAAGAAATAACTGAGTATTTTACAACAAATAAAATAATAATTGATCATACATAACTCTATTCATATTTGAGCCCTTTATGTACTATTGAATTTTATTAGTTTCATTTAGTTTGGTTAATTTTTAATTTTCAAACTAATAATATATGCCAATCAAGAAAATAATCAGGTTTATAGCAAATACTTATGTATCGTGACTATATGTTTAGTTAAAATATTTGATGATGCATTTGTTTATTCGATTCCATTGTTTTAACTGGATAGTTAGTTTAATGTCACCAAAGTATCAAATATCTCAGCACTAGTAGTCACTAGATTTCTGTTTAAATTTTGATAAAAAGCTGTCTTTTCATTTATTTTCATTTGTAATTTCTAGCCAATACTATACCAAATAATAGTAAAATATTTTGACATAAGAGTAGTTAAAACTAAAACAATTCATTTGAGTTATTTATTACTAAAGTGAACATTAATCATTATTTACGATTTTTCAGGAAACGTGAAAACTGTATTTTATATTCCAACTATAACAACAAAACCATTATTTAAGAAAAATAAATTAAGATATTCTTTAATTGTAGAACATATGTATGAAAATCACTTATTTTTCCAGTAGTAATGAAAAACATTAAACGATTAAATAAGGTCCCTTATGGAAAGAATTAAAATTCAAGCTTCGTTTTCGAACAAAAAAAAAAAAGGTTGATTGAGGTTTATTTTGGATAGATAAAACAATCAGTAATTCGGGAGTACAAAATTGACAAAAATTCTACTATAAAAAATTAACTTTTTAGAATTATAGTGAAATAAAATAAATATATTTTTACTGTTACTATTAATTATATATTTTTTAGTTTAGCTTTGCTTTGTAAAAAATTAAATTGAACAGGAAGATGCCCAAATTAGTATTCCAAAAAATATAACCAAACATCTAGCATATATCAAGAGATTCTTAATTTTCATGTTATTTAAAATCTACTAAATGCTTTTAGTAGATTTTTCATTTAGGATTTCTAAATGAACATGGTAAAAACACTACTTAAAAGACTATTAAAACCAATCGAAAATGCTATTTCAATTTAAATTGTTTTCAAGATCATTGTGGTAACACTCTAGTAACCTTCAATAGATTATGTTATTCAAAATAGATTATATTAAATAGAAAACTTTCCATGAAAAACACATATTTTTATTTAGAATTGTGGGTTGATGGTTGAATGTCGTGAATAATGAAGAGAAGGATGGCTTTTTCAAATGTTAAAATAAATATTATTATTTATTTTTGCCATTTTTATTTTTGACTGATCATCCCAACCATCCTTCTTTTCATTATTTTTATTTAGACCCAAATTAATTTTTCTTTTTTTCATGAATTTCTTTTGTTTATTAATTTTTTTTTTTTTTTTTGCTTTGGGTCCATTACTTTACTATCTCTCTTAAAATCTATTAAAACGCAAATATTATTTCATAATCTAATAAATAATTGCATGCTATTTTCAATGAGATAAATAGTTATAGTAGTAAAATAGTACCCCAGAAATTGGAGTATTTGGAGAGATATATAAGCAATGTTTACTTATATTTGTAACTGAAAAATTTAATTTTAAAACAACTTTGAAAATTTATGTTTCAGAATTATTCTATATATAACGAGCAATTACAATGCAACAAATTATGATATCATCGAATTCTGTATTAAATTATTGAGAAATAAACACATTTTTAAAGCAATAGTTCAATAAATATTGGTTTTACATTGGGAAACTAAACATGAACCTGTTGGTTTTGAGCTCGAAATGTCTTCCCAACTTCAAATATCTCAAAAGTTTAAATGCCCTCAATTCTGAAACTAATCGTTAGAATTAACTAAAATTTGTAGTTTTTATTATCTTTTTGTATATAATTAATATTTACAAATTTTCATTTAAAATCTAGGGAGGGTGTCGGCCGCAGAATGATTTGGCGTACAATGTCTCCCCATTCTCAAGATCTATTATAATAGAACTTCAGGTAAATTTGATGCAAATCGAATATCGATTAGAGAAAATAGTTTAAATGGTTATTGCGTAGTCGCTATTTCGAAGAAGTACCTCATTTGGTAAGCAGTCACCAGGTGCCAAACTTTCAAAATACAAAACAAGAAGCATCAAATTGGGTCAACCTCTTTGAAAAGATAGATACTGAGATTCACAAACCAGTAGCTGAAAATGTGTTTTTGAAACTCAGGGCCTCTGACATAAAGATCTCTTAAGAACAATTCACAGTACTTTCCTGTAAAAGTAATGTTCAAACCAATGTAATAAACGTAGCTTGGTTATAATTACATTTTTTTTTTTAAATAAATGCATCATATGTTTTTGTTAAGTATTAAATTTACTGTTATCGGATATAATAAGTGAAAATCATTAAAAAAGTTATAAATGATGTTTTGTAGGCCTGTAATTCAAAACAAGTACTTTGTTGAAGAGGTTATTTTGTGTCCCTACCGTAAGTTTTAGTTTTGCGAATTTTATTCTAATAGTTATGGTAAAAAAAATGTCCGTTGCTACCAGGAAACCATTTGCTGAAACAGAGGAAGACGTAACCAACCCAATCGAAAAGGACCTCAATAATTGTAAAGGAGAAGCAGTTCCGGTAATTTTGTTCACTCCGGATCACAAATTCCAGTTAGATGAAGCCGCTTTGGAATCAATACTCCTCCAGCCGGACGTAAAGAACTGTAATGTGGTCGTAGTATCCGTTGCTGGTGCCTTCAGAAAAGGCAAGTCATTTATTCTTGATTTTTTCCTTAGGTATTTAAGATCACAATACAGCAGCAAAAATTGGACGAAAAGTAATAGGTACGATTGGATGGGTACTGAAGACGAACCATTAAAAGGATTCTCTTGGAGGGGCGGTTCAGAAAGAGACACTACCGGAATTCTCATTTGGTCCGAAGTTTTCATTACTGAATTACCAGGAGATGAAAAAGTAGCAATATTGATCGTAGACACACAAGGGACATTCGATAGCGAAAGTACCGTGAAAGATTGTGCCACCGTCTTTGCACTGAGCACCATGGTCAGTTCTGTACAGATATACAACCTCAGCCAAAACATTCAAGAAGACGATCTTCAACATTTGCAGCTTTTTACAGAGTACGGAAAGCTAGCCCTTGCCGAATCTGGAAAGAAGCCTTTTCAGAAACTGGAATTTTTAGTTCGTGATTGGAGCTACCCCTATGAAGCAGACTTTGGAGATGTCGGTGGCCAGTTGCTCCTAGATAGGCGTTTGCGGATCTCTGAAAGACAACATCCCGAGCTCCAATCTATCAGGAAACATATTCACGCATGTTTTTCTGAAATAGGATGTTTTCTTATGCCTCATCCGGGTTTAAAGGTGGCGACAAGTCCCACGTTTGATGGTAAGCTGTCTGATATGGATGACGTGTTTAAGAAATATCTGCAGATATTTGTACCTTTGCAATTAGCCCCTGAAAACTTGATTGTGAAGGAAATAAGTGGGAACAAGGTGAAAGTCAAGGAGTTGGTTCAGTATTTTAAAACTTACGTCTTGATCTACAGCGGGGACAGTCTACCGGAACCGAAGTCTATGCTAGAGGCGACTGCAGAGGCGAATAACTTATTAGCTGTAGCTGAAGCCAAGGACTGCTACAATGTGCTGATGGAGAGCTGTTGTGGCGCAGTTAAACCATATTTGAGTTCCGCGCAGATGGAAGCTGAACATCTGAAAAACAAATTCCAATCACTCGGTATCTTCGACAGAAAGAGGAAAATGGGAGGAGAAGAAATTAGCGAAAAATATAGGAAGAAGTTAGAGCTTGACTTGGACGAACTGTACTGTCAGTTCAAGCAGCACAACGAGAGCAAGAACATTTTCAAAGCTGCTCGTCCTCCTTCTGTCCTCTTTGCCGTTATCGTTGGCTCTTACATAATCTCCGGGATCTTGGGATTTATCGGTCTCTATACCTTGGCTAACTTTTTCACCTTCGTAATGGGGTCGTCATTACTTGCTGTTATGATGTGGGCCTATGTCAGATATAGTGGTGAAATGTTATCTGTAGGCGAAAAGATCGAGGAGTTTACTAATGTCCTCTGGGAGCAGTTGATGAAACCATTTTATAAATTCCTGGTCCAGACAGGTGTCGAGCAGGCCGTCCATACCACGGAAAGGATCATCCTGGAACCCACCGCATCAGATGGCGACAAAAAGAATGTGTAAAATGTTATTAAATCGATCTGGGAACATTATCAATATCTAAAGAAGTTCATTGTGTGTTCTAATCAACGTATAAATTCCATTAATATCAAAAAAATATGTCACTATAATATTGTTCATTTTTCTAATATTTTTTGTTTTCTTCAATCGTTTAACGCTAACGTTTATTAATTAAGATATTATATTTATGATCATTTTATTTAAATAGCTTTTAGTAAGCGATGATATTTTCGAGAATTCTATTTCAACTATTGTCTTAGAGTTTTCAACTCATTATATATCACACTAATAAACAGTGTTTAACTGAAATTTATTTTATTTGTCATATAATTTCAGGCATTATTCATACAGGGTTGTATGAAGACAAAAGCGTGCGTAAGGATTTTTACTATTAACAACCAAAAATGTTACTGATTAACTACCTGCAAGATTTATCTGATGAATCCTTTCAAAGGTAGGAGAAATGTAAGTTCAAGAGAAATCTGACGAAAAAGATTTTTCCCAAAGCATACAATAAATGGAAATATTATACAATACACTAATATATAACTGTTAATTAAAACAATAAGAACTAACTTTCAAAGAATAGAAAAGCTAGCATTAAAACACTTTGAGGATGAAAGTGACAAAGGTTTTACTAGATAGCGAATTGATTATAATGCTAGCAGAGAGTTTGATAGTTATTTATGTTAATAACATTTCTTGCTAATTTTTGTATGAATCAGATAAAAGATAGTTAATAATTAAATTTAAAAAATGAAGTTCGTTTCAATCTAGTAAAATGGAGAAAATGGCGCCTAACAACCATTAAGTAGAAGAGTATTATCTTTCTGAACCCAAAACTAACTTTGGTCTAACAGTTAGGTTAACAGACTTATCATATATCATTTCCTTCTTTCAGATCAAATACCCATGACTCTTGTCCTTTCTATCTGGCCATAAAGGCAAGAGTTTCCAGTGGTATTCATCAACATTATCAATTAAGCAGGATTCATCTTAAAAATAAGAACATTTTGTCAAACCAGCCACATTTGAAATAAACTAACGATCAAATATTGTTTAAGTTAGTCCCAAGAAACCTAAAGTTAAGTAAATAAATAGACATCCAACTTCAAGTTGAAAGAGCTCTATTATTGTGAAGTTTTGGAAGCGTTAAAGTTTTCGAAACCCAGGTATGAATTCGAAACTTATTGTTTTGTGAACCCCTGCTCGTAATGTCGCTAAAACATGAACTGAGTTTCAAAGTGTCTTCCGAGAGGAAGTAATATTTTATTCACGCTTCTCGTTTTTTTTTTTTTTTTTATTTATTGTTCTTTGGATATGTCATAAATTTATATTTTAGATAATAACATCAGATACTGGATCTTGTAGAAAAAAAAATCAATTTAGTCAATCTTTCTAGTATTAAAAAAAAACTAGAGACCTTATCTCCTAATTGTCCGATTTTAACGATTTGTTTTTTGTTTTTTAGGCTACTCCATAAACTTTTAGAAAACCATATACAACATTCCCAAAAAAGTGTATACTGTTTGAGTTATTCGGAATTTAATTATACCATCCCTCGTAACTTTTTTCCGCTTCTTTACGCTGATGAATGTTTTATAGATAAATTTTAAGGGTGTCAAGAAAATAACTTTAGCGAAGTTTCAATGAAATCGGTACATTCGTTAAGGAGCTACAGTCTATAGCTACGTTTTTCTGCATTTTTATTTTTTTCCTACTTTATTATCTTATCAAATTCATTGAAAAGTTATATTTAGCATTTTTTTCGTAACTCTGAATAATGCGAAATAATTATCTTTTTAAAATAAACCATATTAAAGGTACTTTAGAGGAAGACGTATATGAACATTGGGCATTTAAGCCCTGTAAAGTGACATCAATGGGGATAAGACCTAATTTATATTAAAGACCACTTAATTATACAATGATACACCGAGTTTAATCAAAATCGTTAGAGCCGTTTTTGAGAAAACTGTGAAAATGTGTTTCAGCGTTGATATAAAGTGGCACTTCCGGTTAGCCGATTTTAAGGAAAAAGTTGCAGTCAGAACTAAAGCATATACCTATCTTAAATACGTGATATCAGTTTCATAGAACTTTTCGTTTTTGAGCTAGACTGCTAACATACAAACACTCAGACACACAGACCATTTTTCGGGACTTGGTCATTTCGACTCAGGGTACCTCAAAACGTATAAATCCGTCGAAAACTCAGATTCAAAAATTTTCTCGATCGCAATACTTACACTTACTATATATTACATATATACGTAAGTGAAAGTAAAAATACATTTTTTTTTTTTTTTTACTAGTCCTCCTGGTCTTGGTCTTGCAAAGTGCAGTCCAGTTAATCAGCCAGTATTTTCCTTCTAAATAAAATAGGAGGCGTTCTTGCCTCAGAACATAGACAGAGTTCAGCATTTCATTCTCTCTCTAAGGAGCTATTATTTATAATTTCTATTTCATATTATTAATCTCGTCTTGTTGATGTTTTCATTTCTATTGTGTGGTCTAATGCGCGGTCGGTCGTAAACTTCCTCGTTTCTAAACATTCTTTAATAATAGAAATAGAAAATCATCTTTATTCTGTGACTAGGTCCCTTGAGAATAACAATATTGTTTAAACCAATTGACAATAAATCTGGTCAGATGACCAATTCTAATAAAGAGTAACTACAATCTAAGTAATAGAATGAGGATATGCATAGTTTTGGAGGGTATCTTAAGGAAAGCGGATGGGTAAAACGGTTACAATATTATAATATTCTTACAAAAAACAACGACATACTTATAACTAAATAAAATTAGAAAGAAATGCTAAATAAGTTTTATAGGTAACCAATTTTAGTGCTACAAAATAATAATAAAACATAAGTAAAATAAAATAAATAAAAATAAGAATAAAAGAAAATAACTAGAGTAAATAAATGATTTATATATGTTCCTTAAGACGTTAAGTAAAAAAAAGTGAAGATATTGTGAAAAAGGAGACAAGTATTGTCATCTACCTATGACGCAACAGATTACAAGCAGAAAAAAAAAAAACCAAACACACATATATATATATATATATATATATATGTGTGTGTATATATATATATATGCATATATATATATATATATATATATATATATATATATATATATATATATATATATATATATATATATATATATATATATATATATATGCAAATAGAGAGGAGAGTGCAGAAGGTAAGTGAAAAATAAAATAAAATTCACTTCAAAAAAATACACTCTTATGAATAGAAAAGATAAAAGGTTACAAAAACAATAAAAAATTATACCTACTCACAGTGCTTTGTGAGAAATGATCGAAATTCTGTTTCATACTCAAAACAGAAGAAAAAAAATAATGTATAAAGAAAATTAAAACCTTGTTGCCTAATATATACTTAGCCAGCATGTAATTAAATTGTGAAGAGGAATTGGAATAAGAGGGTTTTAAATGTGGAAAAGGATGGTGCATGGCGGATTTTTAATGGTATGGAATTCCAGAATGCAGTGGAAGGGATAACAAAGGAATGTTTAAATGAGGCAGATTTGTGTAGAGAGGAGTGTAAAGATCAGAATGAAGTGATCTTGTGGAGAGGGTGTGGATTGATGATTTGAATTGAAGGAGATTGTATGCGTAGGACGGACGATGATTATTGATTATTTGGTAAAGAAATGTACCCAGGAAATATTGCCTTCGGAAGGAAGGGAAGAGCCACCTTAACTCAGCATAGTGGTGAGAAACACGTGAACGTCTCGGGGTTCCAGTGTCAAATCTTACGAAGGCATACATAGTTCTTTTCAGTCTGTCTCCAAGTTCCGATGAGAGGCCACCGTACACCATCATCAAGGTGAGGAAGATGAGGGACGATACTAAGAGTCTACGTATGGGTAGACACTTTAGACAGATACTTTAAATAGTATCTGAATCATTATCCTTAAATGACAACAGTGATATGAATCCGCATTTCCTAAATAAATTTTCACCCTTTGGGAATCATCTAAAAATAGAATGCAAGTCACACAGAATAATCCATGCTTACCCATTTTCTCGCATTGTCTATTTATTGTATTCTATTCCAAGCTGGTTGAAATTCTCGCTGAGGTCAAACTCTTTCGCATCCTTCCTGTATTTGTCAGCTGGTGGGTGCTAAATAGAGAACTGCATCCTGTATAGCGGTCATTCCTTTGATGCCTTCCAGATATTGCAGCCGTTAAGTTGCAATTTTCCACTTGTAAATATCTATAAATGTCTAGATGTTTACTTCTCATTTCTTAAAGGAACAGGCAGCCTGTGTTTAAACTTAGTTTTCTAAAAATGTAGTTAAGAGAATATAAGTTGGTAATTTATTAAAATTGGTACACCGTCAATTCATATAATATGTGATACCTACAATACCTACAATACCTTATATAGCGATACATACAATACCTTCATATAGCGATTAGAATTGTTCAATATTTAAAATCTCAACATATCAGTATAATAATTGATAGAACTTAACTTTGTCTGTCAGTAAATAAAACAAAATTAATATGTATGAATAATTGAATGATTTTCACCAATGAATTTTTATATTTCCCATCTGACGTTCATTTCGAATAATCCTTTTTTTATTTACTATTTAATCAAAACTCAAGAGTTAAATTTAAAATTTGCAGCATTGATAAAAAATAGAATAAAATAAAAAATAAAATAAATAAAAAATCTGTGTAACATAACGAACACGGCATGTAAGTATTGACTCTGTGACCATTGGTTTTTCTAAAAAGGAGCAGATATTAGCAGAATTAGTAGTTTTTGGAAAGGGGACTGTCAGGATGACAACAGAATTGGGAGAAATAGTGAAAAATCTATGATCCAACTACTTCATAACTCGAACTATTTGAAATTTATCGTCGCAGACCTACGTACGTAAGGTAATTTATTTATTATTTTATTAGTTATACATATTCCTGGCTCACAATAAATTTTCCATCTACCTCGGTATTCAGCAAATATGATGTCAAGGAGAAGAAATGATAGCATAAATAAAAAAAGAATAGTAATAACAAAACAAAAATACAAAAAAAATACTTGTAGTAAACAACACATACATAATAACACACACCAAAAAAAAAAGATAATGCAGCAAGTAGCTCAATTCAATAAGTCTCTTGGCCAGCGCCTCTGCAGTCTTCTGGGCGGATTATATGGATTTGTGGCAGTAAATAGAACTTGAGTAAGTGGATTGGAATTTAGAGTCAGTCTGTAATGAA